GCCAAGTAGAGGTTTCTAGAACTGGCCTTTCGGAGTCAGCCCCTGTTTAGGCCGAGGCAAGTGGGCAAGTGGTATAGGTCCACTACGCAGAGTCAGCAGTCCCAGGTAGCCCAGTCCGGTCCAGTCAAGCAAGTACTGTCTGGGACTGTGCACATCGTGGGCCAAGGGATACAGGGCAGACCAACGCCGCACAGAAGTATAAATCAAGAGGCTGCGTCCAGCCATTCATTCATTCCTGCGGATGCCATGTGGAAACGCTGCCTCAGCAGCTTGTGCGAGGAGGTCTGCAGTGGGCCCGAAGTCGAAGTGGGCAGTGAAGTGTAGTATAGCGATAGGGTAGTGGCAGCTAGCGCTGCCATAGCTGTAGTACAGTGTGTGTGTGTGTTGCGTATGAGCACTGAGTGTTGCGTGTGGGACATCCAGGGTGATCCAGAGTGCGAACAGTGAGTTGTGTGGGCGCAGAGCCGCCATAGCCAGTTGAAGAGAACTCTTATCCGGTTACGATATCTTTGAGTACTGTGTGGGCGCATGTCGCCAGTTTGCTGTATCGCTGTTCGCATGCAAGACAAGTGTGAATAATCCGAGTCTGATTACATTGGTGTAAAGTATGGTGAAAATGGCCCTTTGGTTTTCTTATAAATGATGGTGAAAATTGGGGGGTCGGTTAACCTTCTCTCCTTTCTTAATGACCTGTGCATCACTGTGGTAGATGTGTGTAACACTGTAAGCAAATTACCGCAACAGTGTGGTGAAGACCTAGGAGGCTAGGACTTAACAGAAATAAAAGAATTAACAAGCCTCTGCTTGTGCAATGACTCGCTGGGCTTTTTGCCCTTCACTAACCATTTTGTGTTTTTGCAATTTCGTACTTTGCGCAACGCTTTATGAGGCAGGCCCAGTAGAAGAGGGCAATTCATAATAAATTTCATAGATAGCATCCACAATTGTTTCAATGACTTGGCTGATGATGCATCTTTCTTCCAAACTCAGCGCTGGCCTATGTTGAGTTTTATCAAACAGGGCGAAGGAAACCCTACAGGTTGAATTGCTTGTGTTTTCCCAAGGACAAATTCTTTTCTTGACATAGATCGTATGAGTGTTATGCATTTGAGACGGCACGCTGACCAGTGCATTTGATACGGCACCAGTTTCCGGTCAGTGCAAAGATGATATATCAAGGGCGTTGCCCTTTTTTAAGTTTTAAAGCATTTGAAACAAAAAAGGCTTTCAGCCATAAGATGGATACAACCAACAAAAGTGGGCAAATGCTTTTCCACGCTGTGGACTGCATGATTTACAACTTTTCGGACAATTGATGCAACCCACGGTGCTTGTTTTGTCTTCATCGCTGTCGTTCTTTTTGCTTAAGCTGTATAACAATGATCTAATATGGTTCTCGCGTGGAAGTTCTGATCAGTTTGATATCTTTCAAAAAAAAAAAAATCAGTTTAGTATCTGGGCCAGCGGCGTAGCTCAGTTGGTAGAGCACGTAAATGGCATTCAGAAGGTCATGGGTTGGATTCCCGTGCTGTTCGCTCGATCCCTGCGGCCCCCTGTGGCATGCTTCGGGTTAACCAGCTGAGATAGTTGGCTTGCCCCTCCTGGTTGGTTAGGAGGTGTGTGGAATCCGCCTTCTAGCTCGCGCCAGATGTTAGGGATTCGCGGCAGAGCTTAGGCACGGGTGGAGGTCGGTGGCAACCCATAACCCTTAGGGCACTCCATGGCTGCAGCATTGAATGACTCAAAAACTGGACTTAACTAGGGGTTAGGTAGCATGAGGCATATGAGAGAAGAATATAGCATAATTGTTGTTGTTGTGGTGGTGGTGGTTTTTATTAGTTTAGTATCTGATCCGTGGTGGATTGAATTGGAAAAAAAAAGGAAAAGAGCTAAGTAAGGGTGGGTGTTTGGGTGGTTGAGTGTGACTGCTAAGTTGCTAACAAACTTCCGGGTTGTGATTCTTATGAGTTGTCTCAGGAAATACCTTAAACATTACGGGCTACTTCATGGCATGAGACTCCCCAGTGATGCGCCATCAGAGAGCAGGAGGGAGCAAGACCGTTCACAGCCAGCGACAATGGCCTCTGGCACAGTGGTCAGGCGTTCTGCTGCAGATGATAGGACATCCAGCGAGGAAAACGGAAGGAATCGGCCCACTCAGCGGTTACGAAACCGAATTGTTGACGCTGAAGGCGACTGTAATGTTCAAGGCCCTCGAGCAAACACCACGAACCCTTCGCATCCTACTTCTATATCGGGGCAAACAACACAGCATGCCGTGTCGTCATCTAGCAGGAGCAGCAACAAGATGGCCTTCACCCACAACAGGGAACCTTGTGCGTCAGGGGTATTGTTATCTCCCCAGCATAGTGCTGTTGCTCATCAGCCACAACCTATGGTTGCAACGGTAGCCTCTTCTTCTTCAGCCACAACCGAATGTGATGCTCTAGGAGGCGATCAATGGGCCAGGTCTGTTGCTGATGACAGACTGGGCGCCGGGTATTCCACTGTTCCTTCTCGGACTGAGACGCAGCCGACCACATTACCATTGTCGTCGTCAGTTCGGCAACTGGCCGGCGGAACCCGTGGCGACGGTGCGGTCTGTGGCGACAAGAGATCGTCTCCTGGTTTATCTGTATCGGATCGTGGTCTGCACAAAGACGCAAACAAGTCGCGGACAGTTTTGTCAGCCCAGGTGGGTAGCACAGATGACGGAGAGCTGTGGGGGAGCCATTCCAGCGAACAGGGCATAGCGACGCAGAGGGGTTCACGGAAGCGGACCGATATCGAGTCGCAAGGCGATCGCTTCCAAAATGGTTGCAAAGCACAGGTAACACTGAGTACAGACCGGACCAGCCGGACCGAGGCATCAGTCGTCGGAAGCAGCGGTCAAGCGAGACCTCAATTTAGGGAGGAGGCTTGTGCTGAGTTTTCGATTTACCCTGCAACATCCCCTTTTGGACCTTGGTATGCTGAAGAACAAGCCATCAAGTCACTTAAATGTACAGCAAATATTGGTGTGCGGAATGAGAGGATGGAAGGAGTGGGAACCATGGCGGATGGCAGGGAGAGATGCAATGACAAGATGCAGCCAGCAAGTGGCGATGTCGCAGCAAGGTTCGAGGCAGGGCATTGTTTTCCAAACACCGAGGGTCATGCCCATGGTCGGCAAGTAAAAGGTACTGCTAGTGGTGAGGATTGCAAAAACAAAGGCCGATTGTCCGGTGTCGAAGATAGCGTGTTTGGTCGTCAGGTGTCATTTGCCGATAGCTATGATGCGACGGTTCAACAGGATGCAAGGGACCCAGTTTCTCCTACAATTGGTGGTCAGCAGCATTGGGTCGGTGACTGTTCCCACGATTCGGATATCACTTTGCGGGATAAAGAGGCGCTCGGCAAAATGCTCGGCGGCGGTCAGGTATGGCTGGCTACCTGTGTTGCTACACCCACAAATTGTTGAAGTACAGACCTGAGTTTGAATCCCAATGAAGAATCTTTTTTATGTCACTGGAGTGTCAAATTTTGTTTCAAGTTTTCAACCAAGTGCCGCTTTCTCTTCGACCCTTCATGTTATCGCAGGACCTACATTTATTTTACTATTTTGTACTTCACTGACGCTTGCTGTGAGCCTCCAGGCGTCAAGTGTCATTTGAGTAGAATAACTGTGCAATTACACGGGACCGGTCAGTTCAATCATGGCGTATCAAGGCTGCCTCCATTTTAAAGACTGCAACCAAACTGGAATAATGGTAGGGGCTACCCTCCATCAAAAATGACACAAAAAAGAAAGAGGAAAGCAATTGCTCAGGAGCCACAAGTTTTGTGCGACGTCGCTATGTGGCTCCTGAGGCTGAGCAATTGCTTTCCTCTTTCTGTTTCGTGTCATTTTTGATGGGGGGTAGCCCCTACCATTATTGTGTGCGTGAGGATTTGAACCCATGATCTCTCCCCCTACTAATGCTTGCACAAGGATGACACGCACAAATCGAGAAATGAAAAATAAAAGGAGAGAAAAAAATAAAAATCTAGGCTACCGACTCATCAGGAGGCTGAATCCTATATATTGTCAAACAGAGCTGCCCAGTAAACCGTAGGCAGAGAGGGAGAAGAGGACAACAAACGAGGGGCTGTGACAAACTGTTTCGTCGGAGTTTCACCGACTCATCAGGAGGCTGAACCCTCAACAGTCTGTAGAATCCCCTCACTGATTACACTGTAAGTGATAATCCACCTTAACCAAAATCAAAGTAGACTATCACTCACCCACACCAGATGGAAAACTCTACAGACTGTCGGTTCACACCCCATCACAAGCCAGCAAAACAYCCACGAAACAAAGAAAGGTCTGTCACAGCCAAAAAATACACTCCAGACACGCCGCTGGCACTAGAGGCACAGCATGGCCGCGTAGTGACGACCCCGACCACTGCCGCCCGACCTGACCGGAGAAAACCGTAGCAGGAAGCTAGCGAAGTCGTAGTATATATCGTCAAATCGAACTGCCCGGTAAACCGTAGGCAGAGAGGGACTCGAAGCGCCAATGCATAGCTAGATTGTCATATATACTTCGCCATTCTTTGGCTATGGTATATGCTGCCAAATTCAAGCTTCGCTCACGGGCTAAGGTCTTTGCTAAGTTTCTTGTTTGAAATAATCGAAACACATCAAAATGGTGCTGGCAGTACCACTTCGTGCTTGTCGTATTGCTCCTTTAGGGTCTCATATATGTATTTGTCCAATTGATGTAACGTAATGTTACATAGTAGAGGCGTTCGCAAGAGCGTAAGAGCATATCCAACACTTAGGCGATAAAGTGAAATTCTTGTCAAGCTAATTGCAGATTTGTCGTATCTAGAGTCTTTCTGCTGTGCTCTTTGTCAGTTTTCAAGACTGATACCTTCAACCACTCAGACATCCATCCAAAGCAAAGACGCCCCTTGTACCTTTCTTTCCACTCCATCAAACACATCGCCAGTGAAGATAAGATCCGGGCCGGGTTTTTTCCCATCTACTACAAATCAAATCGCATCTTACTTAGTAGACGGAGAGTCAAGAATCTATCATCTTGAATCTTCTTATGCAGAAGGCTCATCAATATTTGGTGTTCGATTGTATCGAAGCATTTGGACCTTCGGCCTTCTATGTACCAGATAGCCGCCCCTCGAAAATATATATACATATATATGTATGTTTGACACTAGATTGTTGGATCAGACGTCCAGGACCCCCCTGACCGTCCGGGATGTCCGACCGGACGTCTGGTCGGACGTCCGRCCGGACAGGGTATGTCCGACCTAGCGCAAAAAAAAAAAAAAAAAAAAATCTCAGAAAAATCTGAAAAAAAAATATGTTATGTAAAATAACAATACAAGCAACTTTTGCCTTGGAGTCATGTTCAAATTCGCAGCCAATCATGAGTTAAAAATCAAAAACCGAATTTTTTTTATTTTTTTATTTTTAAATGTTTTTCCGGACGACGGGGGTACCGGATGTCCGATGGGACGTCCGGCGGAGACGACCGGTCCCCAGACCATTGGTAATTTGCGTTATTTCGTGTCGCGCCCTTCCGACGGCCGATTTGCCCTATCGTGCCCCTGAGCCAAAAAATATTTTCGGCATGCCCTTGTCAGTAGTGACCGCAACTTTCCGGGACGCCCTCCTTGGACTGACGGTTGGGCCCCGTGCCATATGCCCTCATGACGGCCAGCCATCTTTCTGCAATGCATGCGCAGCCATGAGGCACCATTATTCGCATTTCCATCGGGCCCTGTGCCATATCGTCCGCTTCCCTGCAAAAGTGTGTGTGTGTGTGTGTGTGTGTGTGTGTGTGTGTGTGTGTGTGTGT